CCCGACTGGACTGCAGTTGCAAACTCGGCCTCGCGACTTTTGTGCATGTCAAGAGTTTCAACTGCAGTTTAAACCTGGGACGGTACTGGACTCCAAAGAGGCAGTTCCAAATGCATTTACAAACTGCTTTCGTGACTGCGCCCTAGTTACCCCATAAGAATAAGATAAGTTATAACCATCATCACCATCATCACCATCATCATCATTATCATCATCAACAGATTCAACATCATCATCATCATCATCATCATCATAATGAGGAAAAAAAAAAAAAAAAAAAACAATTTTCAAAGGGATAGGGGAAGACCAATGCAATCAATAATAAATACAACATAGCAAGCAAACCCTATAATGACAATAAAAAAGGCCTGAAAGGCAGTCCTGCCCAGATTTGACAGGTAATTGAGCCTCGGTTCCCGGGGCCAGATTTTTGCAACACCCACCGAAAAAAGCGGCCATGTGTGATACAATTTTTTTGGTCGGCGCACCGTCAGCGAAAGAGCTCCGGTATGCAGAGCCCCGGAAGTCACGCCATATGTTGGGCCGCATTGGTTTAAAGTTGAAACCACCACTACTTGGCCCAGCTATCGGCCGCGGAAAAAAAAAAAGGAGTAGAAACGTTTCTAGTCGGATGAATTTGGGCGCTCCTGTAGTAGCCCGTACGTTTCCCACAATAATTGTGGCTTTTTAACGGGCACAACTTCAGGAAGTACAGCTGTGGTTTAAACCACCAGTACCTTTCCCCGCATGGGGGAAAGGTACTGGAGGAATATGCCGTGACTTCCGGCAAACTTACCAGCCTTGGCCGCATTGGTTTAAACCAGCAGTACCTTTCCGGCATTGGAACAAAGTACCTGTGTTGGGCCACATTGGACTGGCTTTTCACCAAAAAAAAAAAAAAAAAAAAAAAAAAAAAAGGATTTCAACTTTTAAACTTTAAACCACCAGTGCGTCTCTCAAAATAGCTGGGAAACGTACCTGGCCCAGTGGTTTAAACCACCAGTACCTTGCCCAGATGTCGGCCGCTGCCCCCGGGCAGTTTCGGCGGATAGCCGAAACGGAAAACGAGCCGCCCATTCGATTCAAATTATTGATGGCGGCCCTTGCCGCCTTGGCCCCCCCGTTACCCGGCGCTTCTCCGCAAAATAGGGCGAGGGCCGCCATCATTTTTTTTTTTTTTTTTTTTTTGATCATCAGTAATTTGAATCGAATGGGCGGCTCGTTTTTAAACGTACCAGTGTTTTAAAGGTGCTCTGCAAAAGAATGAGATGACATCGTACAAATTCAGAGAGGTTCAAGTTGCTGCCTTTTTTTTTTTTTTTTTTTAAGGGGTAACTAGGGCGCAGAGTCACTATTTCAGTTTAAAATCCAGTTCAGGAATCCCTCGATTACAACACATCCCCACCGGACCCTAATGCTAGATTGTATACATTCACTATTTTTCTCTGTTTGACACTGAAGTCATTTGCGAAATCATGACTGAACTTCACTGAAGCACATTTTCAAACTGAAACTGTGACAGCGCCGTAGTTTTCCCGTTTTTTAAAGGAGGTTTAAAAAAAAAAAAAAAAAAAAAAAAAAGGAGGTTTTTCTTACAGGAAAAGCTGCAAGGAGAGTGGGGGGAAAAACTTTATAGAAGGGCTGAAAATGGCATACCCAGATAAAGTTAACAGGCTTCCCCACGAAATCGGTCTTCAGTTTCCGTATGAGAGGATGAACCGCCGTACAATAGCCAGCCCATGCTGAGTACACCTCAACAACTGACACCAAAACAGGAAAGAATGACAAAAACAATACCTTCTAACACCCGAACAAAAAAAAACAAAAAACAAAAAAAAAAACTTTGGGTGTTCCCAAAATTGGAAGCCTGTTTTTGAGAGAGAGAGAGAGAGAGAGAGAGAGAGAGAGAGAGAGAGAGAAAATATCATGTGGCCCGATGAACCACGGATCAGATATTAAACTGATCAGAACAGATACAGTGCACTTGATCTTAGCCAAAAGGCCGAGAAAGGTATACCTCTAACAGCGATTTCGTCAAAAAGGACATATTATAATATTCAGAACGCCGTACCCAAAATTTCATCAAAGTTTCGTTCAAAAAATCTAATATGTCCTTTTTGACAAAATCGCTGTTCTCTACAATTTTGTTCTCTACAATTTCTACCAAAGTCATCTACGCCCCTTTCCGAATGTACGTGGGCGGCATGGATGGTTGGTTGCAGCAACTGTACTGGGCTGAATTTTTTTTTTTCTTAAGGTGAATTTGAAGGAAAGAGGAAGGAAAGTACCAAAAATACCAAAAAAGAGAATAAATATTTTTTTTTTTCTGAGGAAATGATGTCCTTCCTGTTGATCTGATTCTCAGTATCCGATTCCGACTGTGTATGACTTCCTTCCCTGCTGATTGTCTCCTCCGCCACTTTCTTCATTTCAAAAAAAAAAAAAAAAGAGAAAACTACGGCGCAGTCAGGGTTTGAGTTTGTAATTGCACTTGAGGCAAAAGGTCCGGTAATGCTGAATGTATATGGCCTACGTTTTGGGTCCGGTGGGGTCGCGTGGGGGGGTGTTGTATTCGCGGGATTGCCTGAAGTGCAATTACAAACTGTTTTCTTTTTTTTCTTTTTTTTCTTTTTTTTCTTTTTTTTTTGGGGTGATCACAACTGTCTATATTGAAGGGGAGATGAGGGAGGCCAGTTACGTCTACAGGATGCATCAGAAGCGGATGAGGATAATGAGGAAGATTCAGAGGGGGAAAACTCACCACGAGATATATATGACGGCGCTAGTTCAAGGGAGAGAGAAGACTCACATATGGAGGATAATCTCCTCCTTCCTTTTGTCTGCTCCCTGCAGGGACAGGAAATTTTCGTTCTCGGTCTATGCACAGCGGATGAGAAATACTCGATGCCGGCATGCCACGTGGAGGACATTCCAACTCAGCAGTCGGTGATCACGAAGGTCAGTCAGCTATTTGCTGAGCGATTTGTATTCAGACTCTTTCCTGATGATCCCCCAGTTCGCATGTTAGTAGACCTACCGGGTGGAGGGAAGGCAAGGTTCAATATCCCACTTATTGACGCTTGTATCCCGAGTGAGCAATGGAGTAATATTGCTTCGGTAGGCTTGGTGGGAATCCCTCTTTGAATTGGACAGCGTTTCGATCCAGCCAGGTCTTACAGCAAGCTTTCTGAGCCGGTTGAACGGCAAAATGCAGAAGCGTAGAAACCTGTCCTCCGCTTATTTGGCTGAAGTTCTGAGTGGTCGATGGCCTGATTACCTGTTTTCCGGGCATATCCAACCTGTGGCCCCCTTGCCTGGCGTAAATGGGCAGAGTTAGGATAGGTTCTTGGAATGTTCAGGGGTTAGGGGACTCGGATGGCACGCAGAAGGGTAGACGGCTGAAATCATGGATATTTGAGCAAAGTGTGGATATCATGCTGATTCAAGAGACCAAATTATCGGAGCGGAAGCTAGGACAGTTAGGGGACTGGTGGCAGGGACCACTGCTGTGGTCTCCAGCACAGGGAAGTAGAGGTGGTGTTGCGATTTTGATTCACAACAGGGTAGAGGCAAGAGTGATTGAATGTGATAATGACTTATGGGGTCGATGGTCATGGGTCAAACTGAGTATAGGGAAAGAAGATTGGGTGCTGGCATCAGTATATGCCCCTAATGACCCGCTTGCAAGGATTGAGTTTATTGAGCTCCTGCCGTACAAACTGCCCAGGTCGGAACACATCATCGTTGGCGGAGACTGGAATATGGTGAGATGTCCAGGTCTGGACTCAGAGAAACCAGAGGGAATGAAGAGGGATAGGCGGACGCTGTTGCTGTGGATGGAAAAATGGGGTCTGCGTGATGTCTTCCGGGAAATGCACCCGGTGGACCCAGGCTATACCTGGTTTGGTACGGCTCCTCAGACGGCTCACGTCAGAAGGAGACTTGATTTTTTCTTAGTCTCAGGAGCTGTAGCAGACAATGTGCAAACAGTGGGGGAACAGAGTGCCTCCATGTCGGACCATAAACCGATTAGGTTGGAAATCCAATCAGGGGAAGTCAGCTCGAGAGGGCCAGGCTGCTTCAGGTTGAACACCCAACTACTGGAAGATCAAGGGATCAAATCTTGGGTACAATCCTTCTGGTCCGATTGGGAAGATGCTAAGGGTGAATTTGAATCTATGGCCAAGTGGGTCGACGCAGGTCTCAGGATTATTTCAAGCAAAATGCAGTCCTTTTCGATGATAGCAGCGTACCTGAGAAACAAGGAAGAAGCTGATTGCCGGAAAGCCCTGGAGGAGGTTGAGGCAAGGAGTGCCAGTCACCCGATCTCTGAGATAGCTTGGGCCGAGGAGCGAGCCGAGTGCAAGCGGAGGTGGGAGGAGCTTCAAGTTAGAAAGTATAACAGATGGGATCAGATATTGAAGGAGAAGAAGATTGTAACTGGTGATCGGGTGACCAAGGAAACCTTCCAGCGGTCATTGTCCCGAAGGAGAGCGGTTCCAATGAAAGGATTGTGCCACCCACATTTGAACGGCCTTCCACTGGCGACGGACAATCAAGAGATGTGTGTATATGCAGCTGCATATTTCAAGGACATCATGACCTCTCGCTCTTGTCACGTGGACCCAGACTCAGACCTGTCAGCACACTCAAAGCTTTGGAATTCCTTGGGTATAGCTCTGTCGGAGCAAGCTAAAGAGGAACTGGATAAACCGATAACTGCAGAAGAGCTGACAATGACTCTGAAGACTGTAGCTGTTGGCAAAGCGCCTGGAGATGACGGCCTCCCAATGGAATTCTATAGAGCCTGCTGGGAGGTGTTAGTCGGTAACTTGGTGGTCATGTTCAACGAAGTTCTGCAAGGTGGAAGGCTAGGTGAATCTATGACAAGGGGCATCATTACGTTGTTATATAAGAAAGGAGACCGCTGTGAAATCAGGAACTGACGCCCCATTTCACTTCTGAACTTTTCCTATAAACTGCTGGCCAAGACTTTGGCGAACAGACTAGGAATTTTTTTGCCGGGACTTGTGGGTATGGATCAGGGGGCCTTCGTGAGGGGTCGCTCTATCTTCGAAAATTTGGCAACGGCGATCGAGGCCTTGGAGGTAATGAAGGATCGGAATGCTGATGTGGCCGTACTACTCTTGGACCTCGAGAAAGCTTACGACCGGGTGAATTGGTCGTTCGTGCTTACAACGTTGAGGACTATGAATGTTGGGGAGGGTTTCTGTAATGGAGTCAAGGCAATGTATTTTTTTGCAACAGCATCTGTGCAGGTAAATGGGTACCACTCAGAGTCCTTCAGTCTGTCACGGTCCTTGAGACAGGGGTGTCCGTTAGCTCCTCTGTTGTTTGTACTCCAACTTGAAGTTCTGCTTAATGATATTCGGAGACATCCCGTCTTAGTAGGATTGAAGCTTCGCAGCGGGACGGACTGCAGAGTCAAGGCCTTGGCTGATGACTTGCTAGCTTTGTCGGCAAACACTCCAGACTCTCTGACTGCCCTGAAGCAATGCTTGAAGAGATACGCAGAGTTGTCGGAAGCTGCGGTGAATTGAAATAAATCTATTTTTTTTTTGCCGACAGACTTCCAATTATTTGTGAATTGGGGGATGAAGAGGGTTCCTGAAGGTGAGGCGGAACGTTATCTGAGGATTCAGTTGGCACTAGAGGACTGTTCTGATTCTCAGACCATCATCTTGCAAGAAAAAGTGAAAGGGCGGATTCAGAGCTGGGGCAAGGCCCCCCACCTATCACTTGTTGGGAGAGTGCTTGCAGTTACAGTGGCAGCCTTTTTCATCTTGTGGCACGTGGCGAAGGTCAGGCGTTTATCGAAGTCTTTGCTGAAGGGGGTGAAGTCTGCAGCCAGAAAATCTATCTGGAAGCCCAGTGCTAAAGAGGATGAAGGTTATATCTCTAAAGTGGCGTGGGAGACGTTATGTGCCCCTCGTGAAAAAGGGGGCCTGGGCCTTCTAGACCCCGAGTCTCAGAATTTGAAGATGTTGTCCTCATGGATAATCAGGGTTGCTGAGGCAGACCAGAAATCAGACTGGTGCTTGCTGGCGGAGGAACTTCTTTGTGAACAGTGGGCTTTATCGAGAAGTTCTGATGTCTGGGTGGCCATTATGATTCAGTCTTTCCTTTCTAAACGTAGCAAGTCTAAATTTTGGCAAGACATCATTGGCGCCTGGAAGAGCTGCAGGCCGGAGCTGAGGAAGGACCTGGTTTCCAAGGAAGATGTTCTGAGCAAGCACCTCTTTGAGAATCCGAAGTTGTGTGATGCATCTGAAACCCCTTTTAGTGCGTCCACGCAGCCAGGCTCGTACGGAATGAAATGGATACAGCGAGGCGTATCCACAGTACGAGACCTGTGGGACGAGAATAGGGGTCAGTGGAGAAGTAAAGAGGAGATCAAATCCAAACTAGGAAGACTCAACCATCAGGACGAGCGTCTGCGGGAGATCAAGAGTGCAATCCCCGCCGATTGGGCCCGACTTTTAAGTCCTGAACAGGTTCCTGCCTTGTGGACCTGGTTCAAAAGAAGGGACGAACGACAGGAAGAATTTTTGAGGCTGGATGAGTGGGATCCTACAGTTCCAGGGAAGTGCACACTGTCAATCCATACAAGAGTGGTGCCGGGCCTTCCGGAACCGAGGGAGGTGGCTACGGTAGTCAATTATGGGGTATCAAACCTCCTGGAGGTTCGAGTAGTGGGTGTGGCTGTTCAGGACTCGCAGGAAAGGCTCCCATCTTCAGGTAAGCTGCTGGCAGGAGGAATGCCTCGTAATGACCTGAGGCTAGATCTTCAGGCTTGGGGATGGCAATCAGAAGAGAGCGTTATATGGGGTCTTGATAATAAGGAAGGAGGGAGGCGGAAGAAGGATTTCAATAGGGAAGAGAGGATTCAGAAAGAGGTGTCAGTCAAATGGGCAAAGCTGTTTCCCCATTTAGATCCGCCATCAGAAAGGGAGCTGAAAACTCTGTGGAAACAGTTAAAAAAGTTGCCTTCCCAGAAACTTTCATCCTTACTGTGGCTTCAGTCACACCTAGCTATCCCTGTTGCCAGATGGCTAAAAAGCAGAGGCACGAATGTGAAAGAAGCACGCGACCGTTGCCTGTGGGTGTATGAGACCCTGCACCATCTGTGGTGGGCATGCCCAAAGTCGCGTAAGTGGTGGGATTGGTAGTTCGCTCATTGGAAGTTTTGGTTTGGAAGGGATGACTTTGCTGGAGAAAGATGGGTTCTTCTAGGCGACCTCCCTGAAGGTCTTTCAACAGAAAGTGGTTGGGGGTATGTGGCTCAGGTTTGCAGAGCTGTCATGCTATGGGTGATCTGGACCGATCGGAATGAATTGCGATTCAAAGGGTGTGGGTTACAGGAAGGACATGCAGAACGTCTGTTCAAAAACCTTCTGAAGGATGAGATTCGGGCGGATTGGCGAAGAAAAGCCAAGGGTGGCAAGAGTAGGGAAGGGTGGAGTTGGTTCAGAAGAACCTGGTGCCAGAAGGAGAATGTGTTGGACACTTCCAGTGAGGGCTCACTGTTGTTTTCAAGTTGGTGGGATAGAGTAGGTTAGTATAGGAAGGGTGGGGTAGGTACCGATATTATGGGGTTTTATGGCTTGCATGGATTTTAGGGCCAAGTTGGATTCTTTTATTCAATTACCAGGGCACTCTGTTTGATTAAGGGCCACAGTAGGCCAATAGGGGAGGAGGGTGGTAGAGTGCCACAGAATCTGCGGAGCCGAGTGCTCCAGTCGGTCGGGGTTGGGCCGATGTCAGGCCGCTTATAGGCCTTTATTGTAGTTCTAGCTAGGATAGAGAATTAGTTGGTAGGATACGTAGAGCAGGTATGTATTCTTGAAGGAGTTTGATGGTCGAGTTACCCCCCGTATGAGGCGATGGTACTCTCGAAAGCTAAGCTGAGTAATGCTCTCAGTATTGTGTGAGGTCCCCGGCCTCGAATGTTTATGAATATATGAGACCTGTTTTGTGAAAAAAAAAACAACAACTGTCTATATTCTTCTCTGACTGCGCCGAAGTTACCCCCCCCCCAAAAAAAAAAAACTTTCTTGGTCCCGTACTCGGCGTTTCCACCAAGCTTGCTGAGCTTGGCGCCTATGCATTACTGTGCAAGTTAGTGCATTCTCACTGTAGGACTATTTTACTTCATTTTTGGACGCAACTGCGCTCAGATGCATCCACGTCGCGCCGTAATTGCAGTCAGATACATTTAAGATAGTGCCGTAATTGTCGTCAGATACATTTAAGATAGTGCCAGTATGAGTACGCCCTTAGTTAAGTACCCTTTGCGCGGACTATTCTATTCTATTACAATTCTTGTGAGAGCAAAGAGAGAGCCCCCACTAATTCATGCTCCTGGTCGAGCACTTACTCTGTCTTTATTTACAGAGTCTGTTGCCCACTAAACGTCTTCTGTGTATCTACTCTCTCTCTCTCTCTCTCTCTCTCTCTCTCTCTCTCTCTCTCTCTCTCTCTCTCTCTCTCTCTCTCACTGTAGCGGACCTCGGGTTGGCCGGTGAGACCAGCCCCTTGGCCTGTTCTCACAGACCTGTGTTGTATTCGGGGTAGGCCAGTCCAGGCCGGTACCTCTGTCGGTACCAGCCAGTCCAGTCCAGTCCCGTCAGTCCGCTCGGGTATACCCCAGCCATTGTCTGTTTTCAGCTCATTCTTCACTGGCACATTTTGGAGTACGTGCGTTGGAGTCTTGCGTGGGGAGTTGCGTTGTGCCATCTTGCTCCCCCCTTCTTCCTCCATCTCCATCTCTGTCACTAGCGGAGCACCACACCTGGTGGGTCCGCTACATTGGTATCGGAGCGGGAACGTTCCCCGCTTCCACCCACCACCTCGTACAGCTGTGCAGGCATACAGCTGAGGAAACAGCAAAACCCGACATCGGGTTTTTTCGTAGTTTTCGGGCATTTTTCAGTGAAAACGCAAGGAAAAAGCGGCGCGTGCAGGAGGTGCCACGTGGCGAAAAAGAGAGGCGCCACGACAAGCGCGAAGGCCAAGGCCGCCGCACGCGCACACGCCATGCGCCCATGCTGGCCTGCTGCCCCGCCCCGCCCCGCTCCCGGATTTATCTTATCAAGATCTGGGAGTTTTTGTTGCAGCTGGGGTTTGAACCCAGGCACCTGCTGAGCCCTGCGCGTGCGTAAGCAGCCTCATAACACACTCGCTACAATGTGTCCATGGCTTTGTAGCGCGGCACACTCGTGTTGAAGAGGTGTCGTGCTGGCTATTTACCCCCCCCCCTCCCCCCCGCAGCGAGCAGTGAGCAGCAGCGAAGTTGCTATTTACCCCCGCACCTGTTGAGCCATGCGCGTGCATAAGCAGCTTTCTTGGTGTACCTTGTGCCCTTGGAGACACCAAGGGCCAGGTATCACTCTCTTCTCCCCTCTCCCTCTACTAACCCAMTCTCCCTACCTCTCCTCTCTCCTCTTATTCACCCCTTCTCTTTCCCCCACCTTCTACTGCATCTTTTCTCTCCTCCTTTTATCTTCCCCACCCCACCTTTCTCCCACCACCCATTCTTTTACTCTATTTTCTTCATCTCTCCTTTTCTTCCCTTCTTTTCTCCTTCCTTCTTTTTCTCTCTCCCACCTATTTCCTTCTTTTCTCCTTCACTTTTCATTCCCATTTCCCCCCACTTCGAATTTTTCTGGTTTTTTTTTTCTATCTTCCTTTTTATTTATCTTTTCTCTCTTTCCAAAAAAAATCGAAATATCTTATTTCCCACCTTCTTTTCTCATTTTCTGATTTATTTTATTTATTTTTATTTATTCTGAATTTTTTTGGCGGCAACCCTAAATCTGATTAGGTGTTAGCCTTTCTTGCTTTCGGCACACGTTTTGACCCCGTGGGGGTAGCGAAGTGCTGCCGAAATTTTCTGATTTTCTCTTACTTAGTCTTTTCGGCACACTTCAACCCCATGGGGGTAACGAAATGCTGCCAAAATTTTTCAAAAATCAGATAACCCATTTCTCCCCACCTCCTCACACACTTATTTACTTATTTATTTATTTATTATTTCTTTATTTATTTTCTAAAATTTCTTTTTTTATTTATTTGCGGCATCTCTAGTGTGCTCACCTTGGCCTCTCCTTTTCCCTTGGCACATTCTCGACCCCGTGGGGGGTAGGGAAATGCTACCGAAAATTTCAAAAAAATAAATATTGTTTCCCTTCACATCTTTTACTTATTTCTTTAATTATTTTTATTATTTATTTATTTCCTTATTTATTTTTATTTTCTCTTGAAATCTCGCTGTTTATTTATTTTCCTCCCGCCTTCCCCCCTATGCTTGCTATTTTACTTTCTTGATTAGGTCACCGGTGTCGAGCGCAATCGGTCCGGCACCGCACGGGGGCAGCGCGGGACCCTCCCGGCCGCGTCACGCAGGAGTTGGTTTTTACAACCCTTCGTCGCAGATATACATGGAGCTTCCACAAGCCGCTCCGGCCGGGTGCGCCAGCCATACCTCTCGCGAGCCCCTACGACAGG